TTGGATTTGGAGATACTGGTTAGGCAAATCTCTGCGCGCCAGTGGGGTTGGCATCTGGATTACCGTACCGACCTACTAGAATCGTGTCGTGAACACCTTATACATGCAAGGAACTGAGTGGATGCGATGCCGTCTGCTGTCTACATTAGTATAGAAACGAAAGATATCAAAATCTTCACGTAATTTCAAGTTCTAGCTTCTTCACTTCTACCATTCTCTGTAGCTAGACAGGTGTTCAAACTTTCCCTTGGAGGTGGCTGAGGAACTAGCATAAATGATCATGATAGCGAACAGCTTTTATTACTGGTACGTGATGCCGGCGACCAGGATGCTGCATAAATTTGGCTAGAGGGGCGTGACAGCACTTTAAGACACGTGATATTTGGTAGTGTGTTGTACTAGGTATAGAGTCGCGTTGGAGACTCTGGATATGTCTGTCGTAGCAGTGAAGTTGCGACAGTGTCGTAGTTTGGAAGAAAGAAGGATGAAAACTTGAAGCCGGCGGCCCATGAGATCGGAGTATGAGTGTAGAGCGATCTGACGAGTCATCGGTGCATGCTTTTGCAAAAGGAAGGAAGTGCAGTGAAGTCTGAGATGGACGGAGTAGCTGGCGATAGGAACAGACATCTCGAATGCTAGTCATGGCGACGTAATCGGTGAGAGATATGTCCGCGCTTAAATATCCGGCTTTTGTCCGCAGCGAGTCGTGAGAGAGAGGGTGCATCCAACGTCTGGGGGTGGCGACCTGCGTAGAGAGTGTGAGACAACCAACAAGCCTATACTTAGTCCCGGAGTACCCCGCCATGGGTCTTATATGTGTGACTCCCTCAATATCAACATCTCTCCGCCCTGCATGCGCAGCCCTATAAATCATATGCAGGTTGACGACGTGTTTTTGGCCCCCACGATTCCGGTGAAAAGGCGTCCTGCGCGACTCGCCCAATCGAAGGATGCGGCATACGTATGGGCCGACATCCAGAACATCAGGACACGGTGCAATTGCGCAGCGACGGAAAAAGCGGGTAGGACGGCGTGCGCAAATGTGCAAATCCAGGGAGCGGGGACGGCGGGTTTATCAGTAGCGACGTGTTAGTTGTGTTAAGCAGCTGATCCACCAGAAGTGGTGAGGATGGCGAAGTCGCTTCATCCATGCACAGCCCTGCCGCCCTTCAAAGCCTCCACCCATAGGGCGCCTGACGCCATTCACCAATGATACGCGTGCACTAGCAGCCGTTCCTGCGCTTCTTGGGTTGACCGGTTTCTGGCCAGGGTCTTGTCACCGCTAGACGGAGCACAATTCTCGTGGTTCAGTGTCTTTTACCACAGTAGGATTGCGGTGAGGGATGAAATAACTCTCGCAATCACCTCCCGCATCAACAGACACGGCAGAGATACGCAGAAGACGGATGGCTGCTATTGTGCAAATGGGCGAATAATGGTATGCAGCTCGTATTCAGGATCCGAGCAGGGGCTGACTGCGCGGAACGTCAGATGTCCGTGCACTGCTGCCTGGAGTTGAACTCCACTTACTGGAGGAAGCGACGACAACCCGTTCCTTCCCTCTTGAACCACCTATCCCCCCAGCCCGCGCTGCTCGAGATCTCTTCTTGCTTCAAATCCTAATCCCTCAGGCCTCCCTCCTCGTCCTCTTTTTGCACCGCAGACCCGCCGCCCTTGTGCCTCTTTTGCCGCTCGCCGCCCGTCTTACTCCACGTGCTGCGCCTTCCTATATACCTGCACGTCTCCTCCGACACCAGACCAAAGGACTCAGCGCCCTTTCCTCGCTCGCTGCATCACCATCATCACCCTAGCCTATCAGCTGCTAGCCTCCGCGGCCGCAAAGGTTCCACTATCCCCGGTCAATGAAAACGTGATCTGGGCTCTGATAACCACTCACACTTGGTCCCTTTGGATCGCCGGGCTTGGGGAACTGTGCAGTCCGTGACTCACCTGAGGCCGCCTTTCCCACTTCAACCGGTACGACGACCAGTCATACTCAACATGTCTGCACCCCACGACCAGAACCGTCATCCCCGCCGCCGTCCTCTTAAGGGTTCCGCATCCCCTCTGAGCACCCATGGCATGCAGCTAAGGAAGAGCGGCACTTTCTCGTCGCCAACCTATATCTCGTCCGACATCTGCGAGGCGGACCGATTCTGCATGCCCCGCCGCTCGCCTACCAACACTGACCGGCTGGAAGAGCTAGTCAACGACTCCATCCAGGACCCTAACGTGCGTCGCGTCACCAACCTACTCAAAGACTTCGAAGCGAAGGTCGCTGGCCATAAGAGCACTGTTACCGGCTGCGACCTTCTCAAAGATCCGGAGGTTCTTCCTGTCCCGAGCTTTGTCCTCGACAACGCCCCATTGGACCACACCCCAATGGACATTGACCCAAAGCCTACTGCAGTTGCACGCAGCCCCCACGACCACGCTTCTGACAGCGGTCTGGGTTCCAGCGTCAGTGGATCGAAATACGGTAAGGAGTCACTGCAGCCACCCGTCTTGGATGAGAACGCCCCACATACTAACACATATAAAGACGAGATTCGCTCCCAGCGCTCGAGCGTCCGTGACTCCATCAGCACTTCTATCAGCTCGACGCATTCGGCTGTCACCAGGTCCTTCTCATCGCTCACCTTTTCAGAAGAGGACGTGCTCGGCGAGCACACGTGCAAGCAGATTCACGACTACATCATCAAGCCCATTCTCGCCGAGGAGTCTCTCAAGGACTTCCACTCCCTCGTCAAGGACGTGCCTCGACGCATAGGTGAGAAGAACATCCGCAACCTCCGTGACCTCGAGAAGACCCTCGTCTTCCTCGCACCGGTAAGTGGAACCACCCGTTGTCTTTCTCAAAGTGCAGAAGCTTATTGCATTTTTCGTGGTTTAAAGGAGCTGTCGGCTTCCCCGGACTCGTACTTCCGCTTTTGCCAACGATCAATCCAACTCTTGGCTACGACCGTCCAGTACATCTCCGAACAAGACCAGCGACTACCAACCGACCGCCCTTATACTGACGGCTACTTCCTCGATTTGATGGAACAGATTAGACGATACGCTTCAATCATGGCTGCTACAAGAGAAAAAGAAACCAAGGGTGAGGATCTGGACGAGATGGATTACTCACGGTATGACCGCGCCGCCGACTTTTTATTCGCCCGCGCTAATCAAAAACTCCATAGCGATGAGAAGATCATCCTCCGCGGTGGCATCAGCCACAACGGCCGTCCTGTCGAGCTCGTCCGGGAGAAGAACGGTAACGTCATCCCCATGTCAGTGGATGCCTCGAACGCCTTCAGGATCAAGCGTCGTCTGTCGGACGCCGACGAGGACAGCATGGACGAGGACGAAGTAACCCGATCCATGGCGCGACGACGGAAGTCCGAGAAACCCGGAGACGTGATGCACACTTGCCGTGACTGCAAGAAGGAGTTCAAGCGACCATGCGACCTGACCAAGCACGAGAAGACTCACTCTCGCCCATGGAAGTGCGACGAGAAGAACTGCAAGTACTTCGAACTCGGCTGGCCGACTGAGAAGGAGCGTGATAGGCACATGAACGACAAGCACTCTGCTGCTCCTGCTCAGTACAAGTGTCTCTACCACCCATGCACGTACGCTTCGAAGCGCGAGTCCAACTGCAAGCAGCACATGGAGAAGGCTCATGGCTGGGAATATGTTCGCTCCAAGAGCAACGGTCGCAAGAAGGGCGCTTCTGGCAGCGAGCACAGCCCCGCTACCCCTCTCACTCCCTTCATCGGTACACCCATGTCGGCGACCATGACTACACCTATCACACCATTCGCTGCTTCGCCTCAAGTGCCCATGATCGAGAACTTTAACTGCTATGGCTTCGGAACGCCGGCTATGAGTGCCCACGGTTACCAAGATGACTTCCGTCGTGACTCGATCACCACCGATGGCTCTCACTTCACATACTCGTCAGGACATTCGCCCGTTGAGCCCACATCCTTCGACGATGCTGTGACGCCAGAAGACACCCACATTAACCACAACGACATCTACAACGCCTGTGCACTGAACGCAAACTTCAACACAGGCTACCAGCAGCCAACCCCAATGAGCACAGCGTTCGACTTCGCGCCGCTGCCATTTGCGACGAATAACAACATGAACGGTCTGCCACATCTATCACCCATGGCTCAGCCTGACATCACCCTCTACTCACCAGACATGGATGAGGGCTTTGGCGGTGACATGGACATGACCATGCAAGGCTTCAGTCGCCCCGGCCAGGATTTCACGTTGTTCGACACTGCGCCACCCAGCCAGATGACGTTCAACCACACGGCCAACTTCTTTCCCGATTTCAACCAGGTTGGAGGCCAGTTCGACCCCCAATACATTGAGCCCACCACTACGTTGGATGATTTGAACTTTATAGGCTTCGGGAACCAGCAGTAATTCCCGCACTGCATTGTATACGATTAGCGGGCACTTGTATAGCCGTCTTTCACGCCCTGTACTTAAACAGAAGGAGTAATTTTCTATTGAGCCGGCGTCTGGACACTGGGTGTTTCTTTAAACAGCGATTCACGACTGTTATGACAAGAGGAGGAATTAAGAAGATATAATCGGGCACGCATGCATTTACAGCCTTGCTCTTCACTCTCCCTTTTACCGCACTAGGTGCGGGATAGCGCCTCGAACAGAACAGAAACTCCACAAAAAAACAAAGGATCTTTGTTTGTTTGCGCGGGTTTTCATTTCCCCCCTTCTTCTTTTATCTGGCGACTGATTTTGATCTCCCCCCCTTCTCCTTCTTTGCGGACTGCCCATTTACGGAGTCTTAAGGCTGCGGTAGAGATCATCAGATAGTGTAGGATAGATAGATAAATAAAACCGGTGGAAAGGAAGATCTTTTTGTTTGCAGATGTTGAGTGGTGACTGAATGCACGCAATACTAACCCACATCTAATCGTACACAGGTTTTGACCTGTTCGCAGCAAAGTGTTATGAAGGGACAAAAAGACCCATCACTCTGCGCCCAAGCTCCGCTCTCCACGGCCATAGACCGATGCGACCTCCTTGCGCCACTGCAAACCATTCCTCGTCAACTCAACCTTCACCTCCAGCTCCTCACACCCCTCTTTAATCTCCCTCGCGATCTTCCTCTCTATGACCCGCATCGCCTCCTCCTCGACGGCCTTACTCCTCACTCCAAACAGTACCAGCACCTTCAGTCCACGTAAACTGTCACGAAGGAGCCCGATAAACGCAGAGTTTACGCCGAAGCCAGGGAAGTAGATCTCGCGGAATGGGCACTGCAGAGGTAAAAGTACGAAGTCAGTATATGTCTCACATGCACTTCGTACAGTCAGAACTTACCTTGAGCACGGCTATAGCGCTGATTTGTCGAGGGAGCAGTGTCTGAGCGAGGTACTTGGAGAAGTCGGTGACAGAGCCGAAGGCGAAAGGTGTAGAGTTGAGGGCGATAAGGTTGGTTTCGGTGTAGAGTTGGCGGCACACTTGCAACAAAGCGAGCTGTTGTATAGTAGTTTCGCTTCCACCATTCTGCCGCATACTCTTCTGGCGTGCGACATCGAAGGTGTGGAAGTCGCGGTGAGAGCTGAGAACCAAGTCGTAGATGGTGTTGCGGATCTCAGCTGGCAGACGGAGGAGAGGTGAGTTTTCAGCATTGTCTTCAGCAATGGCGAGCTTCTCTGGATCTGCGCTGAGTCGTAGCATGTCGGGTGCTTCTTCTGAGGCCTCGGTAGCTACATGATCTTCTAGACCCACAGACTGCGTGGACTGGCATAGACCTCGGAGTCCAGTGTCCATGGTAGACTGGCCGTTCCTTGAGGTAGTTGATGATTCAGAAGTGACTCTCACATCCAGAAGATTATCTGGAGTCTCGGCGGCGGCGGCACGATGTCGCTGCATCGCAGCAATCTTGGCGACTATAGACATACTGGTGGATGGATGATGTGGTTGAAGTGGATGCAAATCTTGACTGACTTGCGGGAAGAGAGAGAGGGAAAGATAGAGGGAAGCACAGTGCGAGGGAGACGAAGGCAGTTTTATCCTTGCGGGGTCAGCGGTGATTGAGCGGAAAGCGTTACGGGTGAGGTTGGCGCTTGCTCTCACCCGGCTAGCAATCGCCATGCCATACACCCGCTCAGAGACCGACAGTCTTGTATGACGCATTTGAACAAACGACAAAAATGAGGCAGTAGATGGGACACGAATGACTGCTACAGTATAGCTTCAATATGAGGCATAGATATGTGTATACTCATTAAACCGTTCGATCACGTCAATCAACATCCTCCTCCGGTATCTCATCACCCAACCCATTCCCATTGGCACCCCCATTGGCACCAGCCTCACCTTCCTCCTCTCCGCTTCCCTCACCCAAGCCCGCCTCAAGCACCTCAAATCTCTCCAACAATCCAACATCCCACCCCTGAAACTTCTTCGCCGTCGGCGGCAACAATTTCTGACTCCTCTCCAACCCCTTCTCCAACTCCTCATACAATTCCAACGGAAACTCCACATCCTCTATACTAGCACTCTCAGGCTCACCCGGCTTCAACGCCTGCCAAGTCTGTTTCTGGTAGAAGACTTTCATTGTGCGTGTAGGATCGAGGCGACCGGGCGTGGGTATGGAAGAGGAGAAGAGGAGGTCGGGGGTGAAGACCCAGATGAGGAGGGAGGGTATGGGGGTTTCATGGGATTGATCGGGTGGTGCAGCGGTGTGGATGTGGAATTTGCGGAGGCCGGTGTTTTCGATGAGGTGGAGGAGGCGGACTGATATCCATTTCTGGACTGTATGCGTAGTTGGCGACGATGGAGTGGTTTTTGCAGATCGTATGCTGATGGCCCATTTTCGTATTCGCCAGCCGTCGGTTGAGGGTTCCTGGGCGCCGATCGTGTGGTTGCAATGCTTGCATTGGACGAGATCTTTGTTTTGGTCTTCGTCGTTGGGGGAGAGCTATGTCATATCAGCATGTGCGATACTAGACAACAGTAGATAACAGTGTAAGATGTAGCCTTGGCTAAACCTGCCAATCCCAAGGGTCTGAGGGGATAGAGACAGTGAAACGCCAGGCCGCTGACTCGACGGCGCCGGCAACCCATCAACCTGGGGAAGAGGGTACACCGGAACCAAGAGTACGTGTATGAGCCTATCAATTTAGGGCGCTTGTATCGACGATGAATGCCACTGATGAGGCGAGTTCGCCTTCTTTGCGCCCATACATGTTGCAACCTCATGAAGTGACGATGTAGGAACCGCACGACACGGTTGAAAGAAGGTTGTAGCTTACCTGTGCGCCTTCGCAATCCGACTCTGCCAGTAGAAAGCTGGCCAGATCAACAAACCCAACACCTCCCATAGCCTGCAGGCGATTACCAGCCGCGTAACCCTTCTGACCGACGACATCATCATGCGTGTGATCGTGCAAGTGATGCTCATCAGGCTTATGGCAATGCCAAAAGTCCATCATCTCAGCCCAATTCTCATTAGGCAGGTCTCTCCACTGTTGAACCTTTCCTTTCGCTACAAGGATACCGTCGCAGCCTTTGCAGGTTATCTCAACATCTTTCGCATCGTTGAGCGAAGCGCCGTCCCACGGTACAATGTTGGCCTGTCGGTCTTCGCGTTGCAGTGTCCCAAGAAGGTCGCTTCCTTCCTTTTCTTCCAGCTGAAGACGGAGTGTCAACTCTTTCGTTGGAGGCTGTGACGGTAATTCTAGCGCAGCGTCGCCTCCGCCTTTGGCGTTGATCGGAAGACGTATTGACGCAGATTGGCCCTCATGCGATACAGTGATGTAAGAGCCATCAGACGACAGCTTCGCGTCCGTCGACCGGGAGAAATTTGTGCGCAGCGATGCAAAAAGCGTAACCGTACGTATATGCAGCAGCAGCTCGGCGTATAGCGTTATGGAAGTTTCGTTGGGCGACATGGGGCGCGCATTGTCTTCGTCACTCTGCAGGAGGTTCGGCGCGTGGATTTCGGTAGGTTCGGGCGCAGGCTTGGGATTCATCAGGTCTTTGATCGTTTCAGGAGAGAGGCCGAGAGCTTCGTATGCTGACTCGGGAAGTAGCGGGCGCGACATACTTCGTGATTGCGCGCCATGGTGACGGGTGGGGTGAACGTGGGGTTGGGGAAGTTGCTGAGCTACGCGCGCGACGAAGTTGACTTAATCGGGAGTGGGTCCCGCCTTGGGGAGGTTCTAGCTCCATCTGGCCACGACAGTGTGCATGTATTTACGAGAGCTTCTCTGAGTTGAGAACTACGAGCATCGTAGCGAAGCGCTTGCTTCTTTACTTCAACATGTGCACTGAATATGTCGAGGGCATGTAATTACATTATCTACAAACACTATACACCTGCAGCATGGGAATAAATCGTCTTCGATAGCCTCTGCTCTTATGTTTGTAAGAGTCTACTGACCCTTCTTCTCCCCAGCTTTCTTCTCCTGCTCCAGAATATACTGCACACCCCTCTTAATACCCTCATCCAAAGTCACGAGCGGCTCATATCCTAACCGCAGCCTCGCCTTGTTAATGCTGTGGTACTTGGACATGCTGCTATACTTAACCTGAGCCCTAGTCAAGTTAGGCTTCTTTCCCATGAGCCAAAAGACATTCTCTAGGATCGTGCCAATAGCCCACATGAATTCGGTGCTAAGGTGCCACACGCTGCTCAAAGGTGTTCGGTCGCCCGCCTCGTGCCATACCGCACGCGCAAAGTCCCAGAAGTATACCGGTTGTCCGTTGGTGATGAGGAAGGCTTCGCCGTCGACGCGCTCGTTGTCGAGAGGAATGCTGGGGAGGCGTTTGTGGGTATGAAGAAGCGCGATCGCGGCGAGCACGTGGCCGTATGCGACGTTCTCGACGTAGGTGAAGTCGAACAGATTGGTGTTCTCGCCGACTTGGAACTTGGTCTGTCCTTTGCGGTATGCGCCAACCATCTTAGGAAGCAGTTGTACGTCGCCTTCACCAAAGATGCCAGCGGGACGGATGGCGCAGGTAAGGAAGTTAGGAGAGTTCTCAGGATGGCGGTTTGCTTGGAGGACAGCGGTCTCGGCGTATGCCTATTACATCGTCAGCTTCTGGGGAACACCAATGCGATTGTGTGCTTGCCTTTGTGGTTGTGTAGTACTCTGGCTGGTCGTCACCCGTAACAAGCGGCCATCTCTCGTCCGCGTTGACGAGATCGTTCACGTGGTCGAGGATGACACTCGCTGAGCTTGTGTACACGAAACCCTTTACTCCAGACTCTTGCGCAGCCTGTAGCAGGACCTTGGTACCCCCAACATTGACCTTGTCGTGGATCTCAGGCTTCAGATCGAAGTGTGGAGACGCTGTGTGGATGACGGCGTCGGGCTTGATCTGCGAGAATAGAGCCTTCATGGCAGGAGCATCCGTGATATCGCCATCGTGGTAGGAGACGTTCGGGCTGGCGTTGCGATTCGAGTGGGTTCGTAGATCAAGGACGGCGATTTGTGTCTGAGGGTGACGCTTGACGATCAAGCTGACGATGTGGCTTCCTAGGAAACCGCAGCCTCCGACGACGAGGACCTTCCCGAGCGATTGGATAGTGTCTGAGTTGTTCGGCATGGTGGAGGATGGAGTGTCAGTGCAATTGGTGGTGCGACGATCAGGGATTGTTTTGCGGAGAGCGCTCGGGGGAACACTTTCCGGGGGCTTGGGTTAGCTTCAAGGTTCCCGCATGTCAGGGTCTCAACGGCCATACTCGCGCGTGCAGAAGCGCCGTACCCTGTACGAGAAGATGAACAGGTGCTCTACATCCTACAATAACATGGTAATACAAATATTAAACATGTGAGGGTAATGTAGACTTCTGCATCGTTCCCAATCCCAACTAGACAAGGGACAAATTTCACAAGTTCAAGTCCACCCTGCAGCCTGCAACAGCATAAAATATTGAGAAACATGAGTTCCAGAGACAATGTAGACATCTGGAACATGTGAAATCACTTCAATGAGACAAAATATCATTCGTATTTCATGACTAACGCCGTTACCCATGCTGTGCCCATAGCCCTGATGAACGAACGCCGTATAATGCAAGCCACCTCGCAAGGTCGGGCTTGGGGTATCATGTAATGTCATATCGAGAGGAAGACCGGCCGTGGGATCATTAGTTCGCAATCTCTAAAAGCAGTTCCTAGACGACTATTAGCAGATGCCGTTGCAGCGTCCACGAACAACACTCACTCAGCGCTATCCTGTGCGGATCGCCTCAATTTACGGTTGTAGAGCTTCTTTTCGTCTGGAGTGCCCCAGAACAGCTTCGCAGCCTCGGGATTGACCAGTGTGCGTGGGTCGTATGCAGGTGACTCCTCCTCGATAGCCGCAATGATGGCCTCAATATGTGAGCGCATATCGTCCTTACGGGCAGCATCGTAGCAGAGTATGCCATCGGGCGATACACGGTGGTGGTAGAGAACCGGTGTCTATCAAATTGTCAGCTTGTCTTGAGGAATACGTTACGAGATAATTCGACAACAGCGTCTCCATATAAGAATCGGGCGGATACATACTAGACATCAGTTAGCGGAGAAATCTCAAAAAGCACGCGTGATGGCTACGTTACCCTCAAATCTAACACGCGGTAAAACCTCTGGGAATTTGGGGCTAATGTATAGCATAATCCGGAACATGCCGCCGTCGAGGTTCGTCATAGGTCTCCCGAACAGGACAAGCTGCCATACGAATGGGTTCTTATCGACAAGATCAAGATCCAGAGTAACGGCGTCTTGCTTCTTGTACTTCTCGATGATTTGCTCATACTGGCGCTGGAGGTTGTTGGCAATACTCATCTCTTTGCTCACCGCCATCATGCCTTCGGCGGCCCAAGCCTCCATCTCCTTGTTGAGCGTCTCGAAGATCTTGACCAGCCGCTCGCGGAGCTGTGTGTACTGGAATGTGCCCTCCAT